AAAAGGGGGACTGTGATTGGCTGTTACTTACGCGAGATTTGAACGGGACTTACATAGGCGTCGGATCAGATGTAGGTAGGGCGGAATTAAAAAAAATCAAAATCAAAGTAAAATAATAAAATAAAAGGGCATTAATAACAAAAGTAAAAAAAAAAATTAAAACAAGTTTATAGCCAAAATAATTAAAGCCCGTACACTACATCAGATTTTAATCAGATTGGGGTCATCTCACAATGTAGTCAAAAGTATTCTGCAGTGATAATAAAAACAGCCACTTATAATTCAACTGTGACACATGCCATGTGTCTGTATGCTTGAAATGAACCATAGTTAACCATAGAGGACCTGCACATGTCCATAGAGACTTACAGGGGGTGGCAGAGGAGTATACCGTACATATCCGACTTAGCGCCAAAATCGTGTTTTAGAGAGATGGGTATTTACCTGACACCCACAACGAAAAAGTGTACAAATGACAATTTTAGTTCACAAAATGACACATTGAGGGGATTAATACGTTTTGGGGGAAAAATAAAATTACTGATACTTGCTGCGTCATTGATTTCAACAACACTTTTACAATGAAGAAACAGAAATGGTCTCAAAACATATGCACATTTTATTATTTACGTACCACCTGAATTATGAGGTTAAAATTATTAGTCTGTTAGAACACAATCAAAGTCAAAATCGATCGATGTGTTTGATAATATACAAACTCTTGATACAATACATTTTCTGTCAGTGGAGTATACCATACTGCGCCCAAGATACTTATCCCAAAATATTGTACATTTTAGATGGGTATACCACCCACCTCAAAACATAGTTGAACTCTGGTGACCTTGCCCTTTGTTATATAATATTAATCCCCTTATCATAGTTTGTTTCAATATGAATATGCATTGTCATAATTAATTTTGTATACAAACAGGTTTTGGGGTTGAAACAACAGTGGAAAAAGCAGTCTACTGAATGTCCTTGATTGATGTAAATATCTCACAAACAATTGGTGCCTAATTTGTTTAATTATTTTAAGGGACATAATTTCCAGCTTTATTCGAAATAATTCAAATATTTTAGTGTAAAAACAAAAGTGCTGTATTAGATGTCAATAATCAATGATTCACTGAGACAAATATGAACTGCCTTATTATATTCATTGTGTGACTACTGTATTATATGAAAAGTAAAAAAACGCCCTCTATGAATAGCTATCATGTTGCAAGCTCTGCTTTGTATGCAAATCAACTTAAATAGTTAGTTGGTGTCCAGTGAGGAGGGAAGTCAACAGTACTGTTGCCTCCTGAGAATCTACATCTTCAAACACTGCAATCTTTGTTTTTGAAGTGCATTTTTAAATTAGTATTATAAAAGCTCTATCATTCTGTTCTAATAGCTGAAACAAATTCCTGTGAATCTTTACTTCCATTTGTCGAATGACCTGTTTGTCAATTACAGAATACATATTTTTTACTACAATTTTCTTTTCAAAATGTGGATGCAATGTTTTGCCTTTTATGTATTTTTTAGGCTTTCAAGTCCTGTCAAGCTTGAAAGCCAATTGTTATTGTAATGTTTATTTTCTGGCACTTTCAAACGACTTCTTCTCTAAAACGGCTGCACATTTTGCATGAAAATTTGGATATACCTTCTATATGTCATGCCCAAAAAAGTGACATAAACAGATTTCCGATTAGTCACGTGGTTCGGCCGCCATCTTGCACCTCATTAAATATGCATGTCTCTAATATCTCAAGCACTATTGCATGTAAAAACATAGAACTAACGCTATATTGAAGGCAATGGACAGGAGAATTTACCAACATATTCTTTGACCATATATGGTCATATAACTCATTAAATATGCATATCTATAATATCTCATGCACTATTGTACATATAAACATGGAATCAATGCTATATTGAAGGCATTGCAAAAGGGAAATTGCTAACATGTTCAATGACCATATATGGTCATAGAACTCATTAAATATGCATATCTATAATATCTCATGCACTACATATATTGTACATATAAACATGGAATCAATGCTATAATGAAGGCATTGAAAAAGGGAAATTGCTAACATGTTCAATGAACATATATGGTCATAGAACTCATTAAATATGCATATCTATAATATCTCATGCACTACATATATTGTACAAATAAACATGGAATCAATGCTATAATGAAGGCATTGAAAAAGGGAAATTGCTAACATGTTCAATGACCATATATGGTCATAGAACTCATTAAATATGCATATCTATAATATCTCATGCACTACATATATTGTACATATAAACATGGAATCAATGCTATAATGAAGGCATTGAAAAAGGGAAATTGCTAACATGTTCAATGACCATATATGGTCATAGAACTCATTAAATATGCATATCTATAATATCTCATGCACTACATATATTGTACAAATAAACATGGAATCAATGCTATAATGAAGGCATTGAAAAGGGGAAATTGCTAACATGTTCAATGAACATATATGGTCATAGAACTCATTAAATATGCATATCTATAATATCTCATGCACTATTGTACATATAAACATGGAATCAATGCTATAATGAAGGCATTGAAAAAGGGAAATTGCTAACATGTTCAATGAACATATATGGTCATAGAACTCATTAAATATGCATGTCTCTAATATCTCATGCACTATTGCACATAACATGGAACCAATGCTATATTGAAGGCATTGGACAAGAAATTGCTAACATGTTCAATGACCATATATGGTCATATAACTCATTAAATATGCATATCTATAATATCTCAAGCACTATTGAAATAAGAGACATGAAAGTAATGCTATATTGAAGGTATTGGACCAGACCATCGTGTAACCTACATGTATATAGATTGCACAAATCAAATTTTCCAAACTTTTTCTTCCAAGTTCGATGGTATTATGGTCCTTTACCTGAAAGCCGTTAATAGCTGCTATGCAGCTATATTTATGTATTGTTTTTGATTTGATAACCATGGACTAAACAGATTTTCTATTAGCTTCAGATCTTGATGAAAATTTGGCCCCCAATTCATAGGAGTGCTTATATTGAAGATTTTATTGGTAGGTTTGCAAATGTGTACCAGACTGAGCAAAAACTCTGCTGTTAGCAATGCACATTTCAAATAAAGAACTGAAGATATCATTAGACAAGCCATGCATGGCACAGTTCTCGTTAGTTATCGAATTTTAGATATATAGTTTTGTTTATAGTAATTTAGCTGGAATATAACCATGTCAGGAATATTTATCTGATGATCAAACAAGTACTTGTCCATATTGAGAGATATTGCTCTGGAACAGCATTATTTAAAACAATCCATTTTTAATACATGTATATATCTATAACATGATGTATAACGAATATATAAAATTTGAACAAAATCAGTCAAAGCATGTCAGAGATATGGCTCCAGAAGCCCATTCATTAAAACAAAATGGCCACCAGCCAGCCATTTTGAATCCGATCTGAAAAATAAAATGAGGTGCATCTGGAACCCGTAATGTCTAATGTATGTACCAAGTTTGAACAAAATCCATCCATAAATGCCAGAAATGCTTGATATGTGATGATTTTTTAGCACAAAAATGGCTACCATTCGGCCATTTTGAATAGGATCATCAAATCAATATATTTGTATATCTATGACATGATGCATAATGAATATTTAAAATTTGAACATAATCAGTCAATACAAGTCAGAGATATGGCACGAGAACCACATCCATTAAAACAAAATGACCGCCAGTCGCCCATTTAGAATATTATGTGAAAAACAAAATTATTTGCATCAAGGTCCTATAATTCCTAGTGTATATACCAAGTTTGAATAAAATCCATCTGTAAACAGCCAAGAAATGCTTGATTTTTGATGATTTTTTAGCACAAAATGGCTGCCTTTTGACCATTTTGAATCAGATCGTGAAACAAATTGATGTGCATATGTATAATATTATGTATGTGTGAAGTTTGATTATGATTGATCCAGGCGTTTCTGAGATACAGGTCCGGACGCACGCACGCACAAGGGTCAAAACATAATTCCCCGTTTTTGGAATGCGTCCGAACGGGGACTAAAAATGAACAAATCTGAGAGAGGTCAACCTGAGGTACTTATATGTATCAAAGCAATCGGACTTGCGGTTTTTAACAAGAAGTCAAAAATATCACCTTTTTAGCAAAAATTACAAAAATATTCAATAAAATTAGAGATTTGAAGATATCATCATGAAATGAACAAATTGAAGAGAGCTCTACCCAAGGTACATATACACCAAGTATCAAAGCATTCAGGCTAGTAGTTTTCAAGAAGTCAGAAGAGTAAAAAGTTGACACGGATGACGATGGACAATCACTCATATGATAAGCTCTGCTCGACAAAGTTGACAGCGAAGCCATAATTGAATTTGGCTAAGATTGTATACCTATTAATATGATAGCAAGGTTTGAAGATGATTGGATAAGAATTGTTTAAGTTATTGTAACTACAAGAAACAAAAGGTGTTCGTATGCAAGGGATTTTTCCACACAAAAACGACGAATTCGGCCGAATTTTGTTATCAGTTGGCTTAATATAACCCCAACCGTATTTTTGTGAAAGATTGGTATTTTTGTCCTGATTTGTAGGAATCTGAAAAACGCGTTTCACAACTTGTCTCTTATTTAGTTTCATGCGTCATTCAAGATGGCGGCCCCCATATAGTAAATATCACATTTATTTTATTATATCAGATGTGCGCCAGCTGACTGTGATAGATACCAATTAAAAACAAATACATATTGTGAATGTTCACTTTCCTAGGGAGTTCAGTACAATATTTTTATCAGAAACTTCCGCCATATGTATAGGGCTATGGCTGCATCCAAAAAGTCTTTGCTGAATGAAATTGGTGAGGATTTCCTCAGCTGTTCCATCTGTTTGGAGTTCTTCAAGAATCCTAAAGTCCTACCATGTCTTCATACATTCTGTGAGCAATGCCTGGTGACTTTTAAAGCCAAATCTGAAGGTGATTTGAAGTGTGCAACATGTAGAATTCAGTGTGACACATCTATTCAGGAACTAAAATCCAACTTCTTTTTAACAAGCCTACTTGACACGTTCCAGAGACTGAGGCAGCTGAGTACAGACCATCCACCAATGTGTAAGATATGCAAAAAGAAGACAGCAACTCACAGGTGTGTAGACTGCCACCAGTTTAGCTGTGATGTTTGTGTTAAAATACATGAACACGTTCCACCTCTCAGAGGTCACCAAGTACTAAAAATTGACAAGTACAGAGAGATAGAATCTAAAGGTCATCTCACAGTGCAGTCAAAGGTTTTCTGCAGTGATCATAAAGACAGCAACTTAGAATTCTATTGTGACACGTGTCAGGTGCCTGTATGCTTGAAATGCACTATAGTTAACCATAGAGGACCTGAACATGTCCATAGAGATTTACAGGTGGTGGCCGAAGAATATAAAACACAAGTGAGGGAAATGTTAGAAAAGTTAAAAGTGAAAGAGAAGCAAGCGGATGAAGGAAAAGCTGCTACTGAATCTGCAAGAGAAGAAATCAGAAACCAGTGTGGAGCAGAGAAAAAGAAAGTTAGAAGAAGAGCAAAGGAATTGATAGAAAGAGTAAAGAGAGAAGAGAAGATGCTGATAGATGACTTGGATGAACGTGCCAAGAGTGGATTAAAAGAAGCAGCAATAAACATTGATGAGATGGACTTTCACCATGGCAACATAGTCAGTACACATCATTACCTCCAAACACTGGTGCATCTTGGGAATGCTGTTCATCTGCTATCTACCAGAACTGAAACTAATAAGCAAATTATGCAAATGGTTGCCATGGAAATAAAACCACCAATCAGTCATGAGATCAATGAGTTCCAACCCAGAAGTGACCTTGGTGCAAATACATTACTAGGAGTGATCAAATCTGATGCCTGTTCATCCAAATGTACATCCCAAAACAACTCCTGAAAGGTGAATCTGTCAACCTACTCATCACAACCAGAGACTCCAGAGGAAAAGAGACCATTCCCCGTCAAAATGTCCAGGTGAAGATAAGGAGATCTGATGCATTATGGGAAAATATTGATGTTACAGAAAATAGCAATGGGACACATCATGTGATGATAACAGGAAAGATGGAAGAAAAACAGCAAGTTGCCATGACGATTGGTGACACACAAATACCAGGATCACCATTCCATATTCCTGTTATAAAAGGATAGGTACAGACAGTGGGAAAAGGACAGCTCAAGGATCCACTTGGACTCACCATAAATAAACATGGTGACTTTGTAACAGCTGATAGGGGTAACCGAAGAGTTGTCATACATGACAGAGACGGAAACTACAAAGAATCGTTTGAATTTACTGATCAGTTTGCAAAGCAATTCACACCAAGTGATGTAGCAATATCAGATGATAATGAATACTTTATGACAGATGACAATAACAAACAAATAGTTGTGAGTGATGAAAACGGAAAGTTGATTAGAAAGTTTGGAAGCTCTGAAATTGATGATCCATATGGCATTGCAATCAATCCTGTTACTAACAATGTGTATGTGAGTGAGTATAGTAAAGGGTACATTAGGAAATATACACAGGGTGGGAGATATATCAACTCACTTGGAATACAAGGAGATAAACAGGGAGAGTTGAATGGACCTTGTATATTAGCTATTAACAGTAAAGGGATGGTGTATGTGGCTGATTTTAACAATCTACGCATTCAGGTATTTAATTCTGACGACCAGTTTATGTTTGAATTCTCTACCACTGGTGACAACTATACAATGGAGTATCCTGTGGGAGTAGCTATAGATAAGAATGATTATGTATATGTGAGTAGTCGGCATAAAGTCACAAAGTATGACAGCTATGGTCAGTTTATTTGTAGGATAAATTGTGATAACAATAGACTGAGTAAGCCCAGTGGTGTAGCAGTGTGTAGTGATGGTAAAATAGCTGTAGTGGATTGGGAAAATTACTGCATCAAAGTGTTTGTTGAGTGAAGATAATTTTAGCAAATTGAAATTTGCACAAAACAAAGAGGGCATATTTTTCCATGTGAAGGGTAAATAAAAGTAAGGGCAACTCCAATCATACATTGTGATAGAAGACACCAATCACACTGAACTCATGTGTGATGTAATCTTTGCATACGCAATAAGCTGTGATTCTCAGAATTGAACAATAATTGATTGTCGGATGGTTGGCATGCAAAAATAAAAAAATCAATGGAAATACTTAATTTATTTCTGTGTTTATGGTTTGTATGTGATAAATCATACAGGAAACAGTTAAAGCTATATAAAAATTAATATAACCCTAAAATTGACTTATTGACAGGCAATAGCATTACATAAAATATTATAATTTTTTTAACATGAACAGATATGGCTTTGGAACAACATTTATTGAAACAGAATGCCCACTAGTCAGAACATTGGGTGGGGATATCATTACATGAGATGGGAAAATGACTGCATAGGGTATATCACTGCACAGGATAAAGAGATCATAGCATAGGGTGGAGATATCATTACACAGGTGGAGAAAAATGGGAAGATGACTACATAGGGTAGGGAAGATTACTACATAGGATAAAGAGATCATAGCATATGGTGGGGATATCATTATACAGGTGGAGAAATATGGGAAGATGACTACATAGGCTAGGGAATATCACTACATAGGATAAAAAGATCATAGCATAGGGTGGGGATATCATTACACAGGTGGAGAAAAATGGGAAGATGACTACATAGGGTAGGGAAGATGACTACATAGGATAAAGAGATCATAGCATATGGTGGGGATATCATTATACATGTGGAGAAAAATGGGAAGATGACTACATAGGCTAGGGAATATCACTACATAGGATAAAAAGATCATAGCATAGGGTGGGGATATCATTACACAGGTGGAGAAAAATGGGAAGATGACTACATAGGGTAGGGAAGATCACTACATAGGATAAAGAGATCACAGCATAGGGTGGGGATATTATTATATAAGTTGGGAAAGATGGGAAGATGACTACATAGGGTAGGGAAGATGGCTACATAGGATAAAGAGATTACAGCATAGGGTGGGGATATTATTACATAGGTGGGGAAAAGATGGGAAGATGACTATAGGCAAAGAAGATCAAAGCATAAGGTGGGGATATCATTACATAGGTAGGGAAAAAATGGGAAGATGACTACATAGGATAAAGCGATCACAGCATAGGGTGGGGATATCATTACATAGGTGGGGGAAAATGGGAAGATGACTACATAGGATAAAGAGATCACAGCATAGGGTGGGGATATCATTACATAGATGGGGAAAATGGAAAGATGACTACATAGGGTAAGGAAGATCGCTTACCATTAGGATAAAGAGATCATAGCATAGGGTGGGGATATTATTACATAGGTGGGGAAAATGGAAAGATGACTACATAGGGTAAGGAAGATCGCTACATAGGATAAAGAGATTACAGCATATAGTGGGGATATCATTACATAGGTGGGGAAAAATGGGAAGATGACTACATAGGGTAACGGGATAAATAGCATAGGGTGGTGATATCATTGCATAAGTGGGTAAAAAATGGGAAGATGACTACATAGGGTAACGGGATAAATAGCATAGGGTGGTGATATCATTGCATAAGTGGGTAAAAAATGGGAAGATGACTACATAGGGTAACGGGATAAATAGCATAGGGTGGTGATATCATTGCATAAGTGGGTAAAAAATGGGAAGATGACTACATAGGGTAAGGAAGATCACTACGTAGGATAAAGAGATCACAGCATAGGGTGGGGATATCATTACAGATGACTACATAGGGTAAAGAGATCATAGCATAGGGTGGGGATATCATTACATAGGTTGGAAAAATGGGCTGATGACTACATAGGGTAGGGAAGATCACTACATAGGATAAAGAGATCACAGCATAGGGTGGGGATATCATTACAAAGATGAGAAAAATGGGAAGATGACTACATAGGGTAAGGAAGATCACTGTATAAGATAAAAAGATCAATAAGGTGGAGGGAGTCATTGATGCATACAGATTAACCATATACACAAGTTTGATATTGATCAACCAAATAGAATGTGGAACTCATCTGGCAACTTTCCTGACTTTCCAGTCAAATTTTGGGTTGTGCAGGCAACTTTTGTGACAACTTTTAACTTTGGGCAACGTTTTTTTCTCCTGCAAAACAACTATTCTGACAAGTTATCAACTCTTTCAGATATTACAGACAAAATACAAGTCATTGAAAATGACACAGTCCCCGTTAAAGTTTAGAAAGGTCTCTTTGTGCTCGTCATATTAAAGCGGAGGGGTTGTCGCGAGCGTGTCCTTGAAACTTCAGTCCCAACAGATTATTTATTCACATCAAATTCGAACACATATTGCGTGACGACCACTCCGGTTTAAGACAGCAAAGAAAAACATAGATCACAAGTGAAAGCATGTCCAAGTTATCACATTTTAAACAAACAAGATGGCCACCAATTGGCCATATTTGATCAAATTGCAAATTGAATTGACATGTAAATGTATCCATTTATGACATGCTAATTATCAATGAAACAGATAAATGGGTTACAGATATATATGCTAGTAATATGGCCAAAAATAAAAACAGCCGTTATTCAGCTATCTTTGATCTGATTATGAAACAAACTGACATGTATGATGTAAGTGCCAAATACAAATGAAAATGGTACATAAATCTTGGAAATATAGTAGTAAGGCCAAAAAGTCAGATGGCTGTCAATCGACCATCCTTGATCTGATTTTGAAACAAATTGTCCTCCTGGACATGTATCCTAACATGTATAAAGTATGTGCCAAATTTGAATGAAAACCGACAAAGGATGTCCAAGATACCACATATAAAAAACAAAACAAGATGCCAGCCAGTCGGCCATCTTTGATCCAATTGCGAAAGAAATTGTCATGGACATGTATCCTAACATGTACAATCTATGTACCAAATTTCAATGAAAACTGACAAAACATGTAAAAAATACGACATTTTCAAAAAACAAGATGGCTGCCAGTCAGCCATATTGATCGAATCGCTAAACCACTACATGTGCATATGTCCCACATAAAGTACTAGGCACATGCAAAGCATGAACAGAATCGACCAAAAGGATTCTGAAATATGACTCTGGACGGACTGATGCACGGACTCACGGACAGTCGGGAATATGTATCATAACATGTATAATCTATATACCAAATTTGAATGAAAACTGACAAAGCATGTCCAAAATACAACATTTTCAAAAAACAAGATGGCTGCCAGTCGGCCATTTTGAATTGAATCGCTAAACCACTGCATGTGCATATGTCCCACATAAAGTGCTAGGCACATGCAAAGAATGAACGAAATCGGTCTGAAAGATTCTGAGATATGACTCCGGACGGATGGACGCACAGACGGACGGACGAACCGACAGAGACTGAATGGGGACTAAAAAATTTTCTGGAATATCAGAAAGTATTTGGAAGCAGAAAATGTGTTTGGAATGTCCGAAAACTATTTTGTTTAAAAATAAGTTTTGGAAGAAAATTGTGTTGGTCGGAAAATAAGCCTGAAACATGGGTAGATTTACCTATAAAGTACAAAAAGTCAAATGCAAGATTGAAACATTTCTTTAGAGAGCAGTATAAAGGTGGGAATACACATACACTAGACAGGCTCATGACTTTCATGGTTATGTCATGGCAGCACTGTTTGAGATATGTCTAGGCATACTATCCTCAACAAGTCATCTAAAATGACACAGTCCCCATTAAATTTTTGGAAGTTCTCGTTGTGCTCGTCATATTAAAGCGGAGGGGTTGTCCGCGAGCGTGTCCTTGAAACTTGAGTTCCAAGTGGCGTATACAACAGATTGTTTATTTACATCAAAATATGTATGATGTATGTGCCAAATATGAATGAAAATGGTATATAAATTGTGGAAATATAGTAGTAAGGCCAAAAAGTCAGATGGCTGTCAATCGGCCATCCTTGACCAGATTTTGAAACAAATTGTCATGGACATGCATTCTAACACGTATAAAGTACATGTATGTGCCAAATTTGAATAAAAACTGACAAGATACCGCATAAAAAAAAAAAACAAGATGCCTGCCAGTTGACCATCTTTGATCCAATTACGAAATAAATCATCATGGACATGTATCCTAACATGTATAATCTATGTACCAAGTTTGAATGACAACTGACAAAGCATGTCCAAAATACAACATTTTCATAAAAACAAGATGGCTGCCAGTCGGCCATTTTGAATTGAATCGCTAAACCACTGCATTTACATATGTCCAACATAAGATACTAGGCACATGCAAAGAATGAACGGGATCGGTTCACAGGATTCTGAAATATGACTCTGGACAGACTGACGCACGGACAGTCGGACAGACACACAGAGTCAGGAACTCACGGATGGTCAGGACATGTATCCTAACATGTATGATCTATGTACTAAATTTGAATGCAAACTGACAAAGCATGTCCAAAATACGACATTTTCAAAAATTAAGATGGCTGCCAGTCGGCCATTTTGAATTGAATCGCTAAACCACTGCATGTGCATTTGTCCCACATAAAGTACTAGGCACATGCAAAGAATGAATGAAATCGGTCCAAGGGATTCTGAGATATGACTCCGGACGGACGCACATATGCACGAACGGACGAAGATCGAATTATAAGTCCCTGTTTTCGGACTTTGTCCGAAAGGGGACTAATAAATATAAGATGTACATAATTTGGAAAGACATGGAGTTTATTATTCAAATGAGGAAATAAAATATTTACAATCAGTGTAATAAATGAATTTGGAAACTAAATAAACTGGCATTGAATTTGCATCAGCCTAAATGATAGAAGTGATTAAAGAGGTGATTGAAGAAAATATACCATATACAAGACATTGCAAATAAAAGAGCATGGCTTAGAAAATAACTTCAACATTCAGCTGCATTTGATTATATATTAAAAACAGTTCAACACAGAAGTGTTTCCATAATTTTGATTTTTAAATACAGTTTCTGATAAATTGTTTTATTATCTTTTTTTTTTAAATATTATAATGAGAATGGCCAGTATTCCTTTTTCTTATAGATACCAGCATATTAACCCAATAATCAGAGTAAAATGAAAACTTGGTCTGTTATTTTATAGTTACCATACATTACCATGCACGACAATGATGTTTTTTAGAAAATGTTTAATTTCAACTGTACAGATTTAATTTGTCACATTTTGAAAGGTAATTAACAGTATGTCTCCAAAAACAATTTCACAACAGAACCATATGCGTGTTCTCATTTAAATTTGATGTGTGCACAGAGGTTGGTACTGGTAATATGCAAATATCATTCGCCATGGTTAATATGCAAACCATCATTTTACTCAGAAAGTTGAATTTAATCAACAGGAACATACATGATTCTTTCACTAGCCCCATAAAACAAATAGTATTCTTCTTTGTATCTATGGCAATTAAAAGCTTTTGCATACTAGTTCGTCTATATATAAAGCGTGATTGCATGATAGTAATATTAATACTAATTTTTTCAAAGGATTCTTAATAATGCAATTCAATAATTGTTCACAATATGAAAAATTTGTTTTGATTTGTTACCCTGACATTGATTGCATCTAATGTATGAGTTATGATTACAAACTGACCATCCTCATTCTTTGATTGCTTTGTTTGAAAGAAGGCCACAATTGAGATATTTCCTTCAAACATTTTGTGACAATGTAGTTTTATGAGGAGGGAAGTAAAAGTTTTTAATTTCAGAAGTTATAAACAATCTCGTATTTTTCATGTTTATTCAGTTAGTAAAACCAGATTTCATATGCTACTATAATTCTAAGTTCCTATAACCAGACTACCTTAAACCTAGACCCCCATTAGTTTCCTAAACCATGCTACCTTAAACCTAAACCCCCATAAGTTCCCACAACCATGCTACCTTAAACCTAGACCCCCATTAGTTTCCTAAACCATGCTACCTTAAACCTAAACCCCCATAAGTTCCCACAACCATGCTACCTAGACCCCAATAAGTTCTCACAACCATGCTATTTTAAACCTAGACTCCAATAAGTTCCCATAACCATGCTACCTTAATCCTCGACACCTCAAGTTCCCATAATCAAGCTACCTTAATCCTGAACGCTCATAAGCTCCCATAACCAAACTACATTGAAACTACCTTAAGTTTCCATAACCAGGATACCTAATACCTATAAAATAACACCAAATACACGACAAGATAAATACGATAATCACGGCAGGATTAATAATATGTTAATCAAATAGAACCGTTTTGTTAGCTTCTATGAGTTTACCTTAAACCTAGAATCGCATAAGCTCCCATAATCAACGTACCTTAAACCCAGACCCTCATAAACTCTTGTAACAGCTAAAAATAGTAGTCAATAAAAAGTTTGTTCAGCTGGCAACTTCCAAAACACAAACATGAGCATGGGTATGGTACAATCAGTATAACAACTGACGAGAAGACCATCAATCTTGTGGAAGACTGGGTTATCATTTCAAATACGGACATACAAATATTCTCATAATAAATATACAATAATTACAATATTGCACAAAATGTATAATCTTTTTTTATCTGCTATATCACACTGCACTATACAACGCATAGGCCCACGGAATTCAAGACATTTCTGTAATGGTTGTCTAGAAACTTCTGAGTAACCATCAATGTTTTGTAGATTTTGTAAAGAGTGCTTTCTTGCTTGACTTCTCCGTTGGTTGTATTGTAACCTGTAATACAGAGGAATTTAGATTATTTCTTGGACGAATGCGATTGTACACAAACCTTGCTTACTTGGAATATGTTTTAAATACTGGTGTATAAATATTACCCTGTCTTAAAAGAATTCACATATGTGTATCTATTAGAGATGTCTTTCCAGAGAGCGGACACTGTATAAATAAATATTTTCATTGCGATTTAATGACATCAGAGAAAATGTTACTTATTTGAGCGGAAACATAAAAAAAACATATCACGATGTAGTAATCCAAATATTTGCTTTCAACAAAGTTAAATTCTAATTTACATATTAAAAAGATTGAGATTATTACCTTGGCTCCAAGAAGTAACTTTGCTTTTTCGTCATCCTCTCTGTAAGCCCAAGTAAAACATGAAGTATGAGGTATTTGCATAATGTTCCACGAAATGATTATTTATTACAAACAATGTTGGTTATGTTGCCATTACAATATGCTTGATGAAATAAAACTGTTTTTGGTTCCAGTTGGTTTGATACATTAATATGTATTGTAAGAAAAGACAAGTCAGCATGGGATATGAAATTCATAAATATAGTGTTATATAAACGTCATTTACCTTGTGGATACATCTGTTAACCCACTTCCTTCTCTGCTGCTTTTTATTCTTCAACTTCTCTTTAATAGCCTAAAGAAATCAATGTATCAAAAAGTGAAATCTACAATGTATCAAAAAGTGAAATCTACAATGTA